CATGTCCTGTGGGAGACGAATCAAGCTGTCGACTTCATGGCTAATTAGGCTTACGCTCAGCAGCTTAATCAGTGATTCCCTGATTCATCACTTCTTCCTTCTAAGATTGCTAGCAGCCTCGCCTTAGATGCTTGACAGACTCCTCACGTTCGTCGGTGAGTTTTTTATTTTCATTTATGCTTTCAGTTATTTTATTCTATGGGGAGTCCCCACTTTATTTTCATGTTTTTGGTGGTGAGTCACCACTTTGTTTTTGCTTTGATCCTCCCACTTTGTATTTCTGATGGCTTGGCTCTATGTCCTCCTCCCTTGTACTTTTTTCCTTTTAGTTATATATACAGGTAGGGGTCCTGCCAAAACCCCCACCCACATTGGGTGGCTTTGGAAAAAAAAATTAATGAAAGCATATTACCTCATATTTTTTTCACTATCAATAAGGAATTAGGAGAGTTTTTCCCTAGCTATAGGTGATCTAGTCAAGGGAATACCCTTTCATTTGGCACATTGTCTCGGAAAGTAAATTTCATTGAATTAAAGAAAATGTACATGTGTACACAGGAAGAGCTGAGAAGGTACAAGCATTGACAAAAGCAACAAAAAAACAACAAATCTATAGGAGGTGCTCGTTTAGGGGTACCTCAAAAAGATTAGACAAAAATGTTATAGGCACAAAAACTCTGCCTGTGGAAAATAAAAATTGCTAAACAATTTCAGAGTTGATACAAGGAGCATGGAACTGGCACTTTTGAGCCAGGAAGTGATTCTGCAGCGAAGGCTTGAACTTTAGGGAGGTCATTCTGTCTCTGATAAGCTACACAATGATATTGAAGAGAGAATGAGAGTCTTTATAGAGGTTGAAATGGATCCTAGTGTTGCATTCCGTCCAAATCTGGTAGACTGCAATGGATAAGCAAAGTCTTTGCATAACTTTGAGCATAGATTTACCTCTCCAGTGATGAGTAACCCACTAAATAAAGTCTAGCCATGGTCTGTGAGGCCAATTTGGTCCATTTCTTGTGCCAACAGTTGTCATATTCTCTTGGAGTATTGGCACTCAAAGAAAAGGTGAGAGTCGGACTCTGAGTTAGCTCTGCATAGCATGTATTGTAGTCCCAAGTGTGCAGCATAGTTATGGTTCAGTCCTTATTGTTGAGCCTTTGTCTGATGGCTAGCTAAAGAATGAAGGTAATCCTTGGTATGGCTTGGCTATACCATACACGTTGGTGCCAAGATGCAATTGGATTGGGATTTCTCAAGTGATTCTAGGCTAAAAGTGTTGAGAATATACCCATAGGGTTGGGAAGCCACTTGACCTTATCTTCGTTGGATTGGTTTGGCAGGTATGATGGCATAGTTAAGATAAAATCCTACATTTCAGTGATGTTATTGATAGAGGATGGACATCTCCATTGGTTCTCAACTATGATTTTGCTCACTTTGGAATTCTTGGGAAGTGCTTGAGGAAGGTAGATCAAGCTTTGTGCAAAGGGCTCTAACAGGTGCCAATTCTCAAACTAACGACTAGTGTGTTGTCCATCTCTAATGTTATGAACTAAAACAGGTCTGAATAAAGCCTAAACAGTAGGATTTTAAGCCAATTCCAAGAGCATTTTTGGGGAGGCTTAACTTCTCATATGCTTCTACCTTTTAAGGTGAATGCATGTACCCATTCACCCAAAGGTTCTGTTTATCTGAACAATAATGCCTGATTCCATATCTTAAGTTTTTTTATGCCTAGTCCTCCTTCTTTCTTTGGTTTGCACACATCGTCCCATGCAACTTTAGCTCTAGAATGCTTAAGTTCAATGCCTTTCCAGAGGAATGACCTTAGAAGTTGTTCCAGTCTATCAAGAGTTTGTTGTGGGAGGCTTAAGTGAAAGGACCTGAAAACTTGACTGCTACTTAAGACTAAATTAATCAGTTAAGTTCTGCTAGCATAGCAAAGGTAGTTATAAACCCAGTCTTTTATTCTGGCCTCTGTCTTCTGAACAAGTGGTGGGCAGTAATGTGGTTTAAGTCATACTGATCAGACGTATGCCCAAGTATTTAACGGGAAGAGACCCTTTAGAGAAGGTCAAGTTAAAGAGGATATGTTGCCTGACTGTGTCAGGTGCTATTTAGGGGATTGACTAGAAGACCAAAGACCGTGTGAAAAATATCTAGAGCTTCCTTTAGAACTTTAGCAAATTCAAGATCACCATGGCTGAGAAGAAGGAGGTAATCTGCAAAAGAGAGCTGAAATAGGTTCAGCTTTTTGCATCTCGAATGGAACTTGAAGGATTTCCTTAAATTG